GTTTCTCTCTCATCGATGTTTCTAACTCTCTGTCCCTCTCCCTTCCTCTCTGTAGAAAATCAATAAAATATATTTTAAAAAAGCAGCTCTGAGTAGAAGAGGTGGGGAAGAGGCAGAGGGAACAGTGGTACAGAAGCACAGAGATCTGGCTCGGCAAGGTGTATTTGGGGAACTGACTGCAATACTAGTAGATCCACTTGGCTTTAAGGAAGAGGATGTGTGTGGATGTGCTGGGAAGGAGACTACCAAAGTAGGAGGGAGGCAGAAGACGAAGAGGGGAGCAGGGAGGGGGTCCTGTGAAGCATTCTTGGGAGGGTGGTGACCTGACCAGATTTGTATTTTAGGAAGATCATCCTGGAAATAAGTGCTGGTTTGAAATCATGACCCATATTAACAAGTAAAAAAAGCACATTGTAGAACAATAGTGTATTTGACCACATCTAAGACACCACTCATTGTATGGTATATACTGTTTTCAGAGATGATAAAATGTAAAAACAAACAAAAACCTTTTAAAGTAGAAGAAATGCAGCATGTTTACTAAGATCTTATTTTTAGGAAGAAGTGTGTGTGTGTGTGTGTGTGTAGGAGTAAGATTTGAGGAATGAATGAGGGGTGACTTTAACCTTTTTTTTTAATAGCCTTATAAACTATTTTACAATGAGAGCACATAACTTTTTTAGCTTGAAAAGTACACTAAAGAAAAGAAAAATGAATAACAATGACAAACAGTATCAAATCTTAAGTCTGGAGAAGGTAGATGGAGCTGCCAGCAGGGAGAACAGTCCAGAAGTCACTGAGAAGATTCAGGGCAGGAATGAAGAGGACTCAGTTCAGCCGTCAGAGAAAGGGAGATGAACAGACTGATTGAAGAGAGACTTAGTGAGTGAAGTCAGCAGGACTTGGAGCCAGAGGAGCCTCGTGGTGAGCAGCAAGCTTGGCCTTTCCCAGGTGTCTAGCTGGAGCTGCTGGCTGGATGATTGCTAACATCTACACGCACAGTAAATATAAACGGAAGAGTTAGTTTTGGAAATGGGAAAGATGATAAATTCAGTTTGGGGTGTATTAAGTTTGAGGTGCCTAGAGGCCATAAAAACAGGAATGTCTAGAAGGCAATATAGGTATGAGGCTCCAAAATGTATGACTTAGCATGTATAAATGGCCATTGAAGCCACAGGCAATGATAAAATTGCTTAGAAAGAGATATATAGGCAGTGGGGAGGGAAGAGGTGGAGGGTGAATCCACATTTACCCAAGAGAAAGAGGAAAAGAAACCTGTCAGGGAGACTTAGGAGCAGCTGGCGGGGAAGAGGAGCCCCACTGAGCAGGGTATCATGGAAGTGGAAGTACAGGGGCAGAAGGAGGAACAGCTTTCTAGAGCGGACGCCAAGTTAGATAAGAAGTGAAATGTGACCATAGCCTGTTAGGTCACTGAGGCCCGGTCTGAAACAGTTTCAGAAGAGAGGTGAGGACAGAAGTCAGGTTACAGAGGGGTGAGGAGTGAGTGGGATTAGTGTAGGGTGAGAAGGACTTGACCACAACAGGAAAGAGAAAAGAGGATGCTAGATTAAGGAGAATATCAGATCATGTATTTACTTTTTTTGGTAGTTGTTAGAAGAGATATCATCGTGTCTATGTGCTGAGGGAAGGAAGCCAGGAAAAGATAAGTTGAAGACCTAGAGGAGAGAGTAAATATTTAATGAAATAGGGCTTGGGGGTGGGGCCGAAGTCCAGAGTTCAGGTTGAGCGGTTCTCTGGAACAGGACAGGGCAGAGATGTTTTGGCCATTGAGAAGAGAATTGGCTTTTGCATTAATTAGGAGGCTAAGAGATTGGGAGACAACTTTTGAGGAAGTCCCTCTGAGGTCGAAAAGCAGGTAGATGGGAGTAAGGGGATATAAAATAATAAAATTAGGATATTATGAGCAGATCATCAAATATTCTTAAGTCTTGGGGCTTAAGATTTGCAAAGTGGAATGGTTTGGAGATGATGGCAAGATTCAGGGTATGGCCATGATGAAGCATAGTGGAATTGAGAGGCATTGGAGGCGACAGCGTCAATGCGAGGGGTGCTGAAGGAGTCTTACACAAGGATACTGAAGTCATCAAGGATGGAGAGGACACCAAGAATAATCTGTGTAAATCCTTTAAAAAAAATATGCCTCTTTAAGTAGTAGAAATACAGCATTTTGGCATGAGTAACATAGATGGCATTTTGCCAGCAGTACTTGCTCTGCTCTCAGCAACAGATACACTCAGCAAACGGTGTGATACAATGACTTATACACGTGTGTCAAGTTCCAGAGCACTCGCCTTTATCAGACCCTCAGATCAGGTATAGGAAGTGTGGAGAACAGAGATCACCGCCTTGTGGAAAGTAGCTCTCCGTGCTATTAATATGTATGTGTTTCTTATAAGATATATTCTGATGTGTTTACTCTTTGCCTTCAGTACAAACTTCTACTGTGAATGCAGAGTGACATCTCCACCCAAGAAAGTAGACCTGCCCAATGTCAGTCATCCAGGTAGGTGGGCAGAGCCCCAGGTGGAACTAGAGCTAAGGTGGACAGCAGGAAGGCAGGAGGGAGACCCTGAGCACCTGCCCACGCTCCATCTTTCCCTCTCTCTCTT